AATATAACCTAACCTTAATAAAAACTATATAGATCAGACAATCTGAGTCAAAAATGTCCTTAGCTTTTTTTTTTTCTACTGGTTCTGTTAATATCCGATATTTTACAGATTCATCATTTCAACATAGAGTCAACATCAAATACCAACCGTTGTTGTTCTGTCAGCCTAAATGACCTAAACATGGCCTTCTCTGGTGCACCAGATTGGAGCATCTAGATTCTAGATTAGAGATCTGGATCCAAACCCACCTGCTGGCTAATCCGGACCCAACCTGATTTAAAACATCGCTGCTTCTCCCATTTGTACGATAAAGCCCTTCAGAGTGTCCCGGACCAGCCTAAACATAATACATATTAGCCAATGAGCTGCTGTCAGTCTGGGTTGCTGCTGCTTGCTGTTTTTAAAAACAGCAGGCAAACCTGTGGCAAGCCGGGCAATGGGAAAAAGGAGAAGACGATGAGAAAAAGTGAAAGAAAGCAGACTGCTGGAAGAACCACAGTGAACTAGTGACAGAAAAGTGAAATGGTGCTCAAAGATGACCCTGAACATTTTGAGTATGTTTGGTTCAACCTGCTGCTGGGAAGCAGGATTCTCCACCATGAACAGAATTGAAAATAAATATGGATCCAGGCTCAAAATGAGCACCTTGATATGTGCTTGAGAATGGCTTTGTTGCCATTCAAAACCAGGTTTAAAATTTTTGCAGAGCAGCATAAAGTTCACTGCTTTCATTAAGCAATAGAAAAGAAAGAAACAAACAACAAACGGTCAGTTCAGGTGTTTTATACAATACGTGAATCAGGAAATTGTCTATATACCAAACTGAACAATTGTTGTTCTCTACTTCAAAAAACACTTTTCTATTTGTAAATTTTTTTTATTTATTTAAAAAGTCAATGTATAACATGGATGCATAAACACCAAATTTTATTTCAGTGTTAAATTCTGTTTAAAGTTACAGATTATAATTAAAAATGTCTCTGGACCTTTACTGGTCGTTGATTTTCTTTATTCCGACCCAGCTGATTTTTAATTGGTGACCCCTGTTCTAGATTATCATTTACTAATCTGATGAGTATCCAGAATATCATAACACTCTTTTAGATCAGTTCAGATTAAACCAATTTAAAAAGAACTCTGCTTTCTAACTATGTGACTGTGTCTGAATCTTCTTACACTGAAACACACTCAGAAATCACGCCTGTTTTTTTGTTTTTGTTTGTTTGTTTGTTTTAATCTAGCCCTTTTCTATTGAATTCTCCAAGTTTTACCTGTTGTGTTTCTGCTGTCATCCCAGAACTTTTGATCATTGAAGCCCTCTAGTGGTAAAAAGCAGGAGGTGCACGAAGCTTTCCAAACTTAACCTGAATGCATTTTATTATTATTCAAATAGCAGCAGAGTACATCAGCATCAGGATATCAAATTAATCCAGTCATGTTATATAGAGGTTTTCTGGTTTATATTTAAAAAGGGTTATTTAATGATAGTTATCATCCTGATATTCCAGCAGCTCCAGCTGAAGAGATCATAATATGGAACAGGAACAGAGCAGGGGAGAGGAAGTTCAAACCATGTATTTCCTGTGATCGTCATGGTAATGTTAGATATCTTGTTATCCTCTGGAAGTGCCTGGAAGCAGTTCATCCTTCATGAGTCAGAAGATGTTCTCTTAGCTTTAGCAATCTCATCAACAGCTGCCTGCATACATACAAAATTCAGTGAGAATGAGTTTGGGTATAATGAGAGGAAAATTAGACTTATGATGCTCTGTCCAATTAATAAAAAATATCTGCTCACTTTAATCAATAATTGAAATACAAAAAAAAAATACAAAAAAATGAAAATTTGGAGCAACATCCCCATTATGATTTAAGTGATTTCATTCAAAATATTTTAGTATATTAGTGATTTTTCGAATTGATTTTTTATTTTGTATTTTTACTGTATTGCTATAGTTGAAGGATTATAGAACATTGCATTTTAGTTCCTTTTTAAACTTAACCAGGTTCTAATTATCAAAAACCCACATCCACATAAATGGATGTGGGTTTTAGGATTATTATGAGTAATCGAATACCGCTTTAAATCCTTTATATCCACCTCCATCAAAATTTTAAATCAAAATATTAGATAGATCTGTACACGGAGAAATTAGAAGTTTGCAATAAGTTGGTGTTCTGCTTTTTATTTTAGTATTGTATGTTAATTTATTTTATATTTATCTTTAATTCTTTAGGGGATGTGTTAAGATGGTGTATGAGCCTACAGGTGGGTTTTTAGCTGGTATTTGTTTTTTATGTTTATTTATTGTTTCTAATGCAGGTACTATGCACTGCACACTAGGGGACAATAAATTATCTTATATTCTATTCTATGTGTGAGTTTAAGGTTTCAAGCAGCACATCTGAGATAAACTTAAAGGCACCAGAACCACTGGTAGTAAAACAATCCCTGAGCCTGATACTAGCACCACAATGCTTGATAGCTGCTGCTTTCTCCTCCCGATTAAAGCCTCACATTGCTTCCTGCAAACATACTTGTGATTGGCACCAAGCGGCTTGATTTAGGTCTTGTCTGAACATAAAGCCTTTTTGCAGAAGACGCTTGGCTCATCAATGTGTGCTGTGTTAAAGTTCCAACAAGCTGGAAGGTTTACATTTAGAAAGATGCATGTCTTTCTGCATTGGCACATTTTAAATGCATGTGGTTTTTAAACTTGTCCAGTTGAATCCAGTTCATGACCTAAGTGGTTATATAAAGAATATAAAATCCTTATTTATATTGTTGCTATCAGGGTGACAGAGTTTGGTTGTTTTTACAGATCTTAGCAATCTGGGCACCTGAAGGACCTTTACTCACATGAATGATGACCCTTTGAAGTTGATCTAAAAAGGATTTAAGAGAATTTTTTACTTGTGCAACCCACCTCCAGATTCGATCTTGACCATTTCCTTTCTCACTGGTCCTTCTTTTTAAGAATTAGTCAATAAATCAGGTTTATGCTGCAAAGAGAAGAGAACCAACCTGCTCAATCATGGTAACTGAATGACATGGATATATATATGCATTTGTATTTGGGATGCAAGGATATAAATATTTTGCAGATAATATCAACAATTGTTATGATGAAAAATGTATATCATATATACTTGTCTATCCTTTCTGTACTGTGTAAAAATAAACAAGTAAAATGACAGTGCTGATAATTGCTTCTTTGCTTCAGTTGAACACTCCACAACCCTGTTCTTCATCATCACATGACCAAACAGACGCCACATGACCAACCGCCTCTGAAAACGCAACCCACAACAAGATGCAAATCAACATAAATGGTTAAAATTGTCCCAGTTTTAAATTTCAGACCAATGCTGACATGTTAATGCAGCTATACAACCCATCCTTAATGGGGGTTTTTTGTATATAATCTTGACCCTGTGAGAATCGTAAAATCAAACTTCTGCACTGGAAAAACAATCTAAAAAAAAAAAATGTCTTAAATTGAGGGTATTTACCCTTCATTTGATTAGGTAAATAAGATACTTTGCCAATAGAATGAGTATTTTTGCTCTTACAATGAGATGATTAGATAATATGCGTTGGAAATAAGACAATGCAATTGTGCTTTCTTATACTAAGTGTATATTTTCTTGTTCCATTGGCAAAATTTCTACTTTACTTCCTCAATCCAAGAACAAATGCACTTAACAAAAAATTACTTATATAGATTTCGATTTTTTCCAGTGTGTAAATGATTGCATCTGTGTCAAATCACTAACTGACATCTTTTAAGCAAAGTTTATTGAGTTTCCCCAGAACTTCATTTTTCTGTGTAATTTGGGTTGAGTACATGTGCAGTTAGAGAGATATGGGAATCTATGTGTGAGCAGCTGCAGGAAGATAAAACACCTGTGTAAACATCTACTGTATGTTCTTATGAAATACTTATGGCTGTTTGTCTCTTATGGTTGTAATCATAACTGCGATGTTGCTGTATATAAAGCTTCTAAGAGTCTAAATGACAGGAATGTTTCTTACTTTATTTTCTGTTTCTCATCTTGATTCTGTTATTTTACTTAATGTATTTTAGTTAGTTCATCTGATTCCATGAGACAGAAGGACTAATATAGTAATCAGCCTTAGTTTTTAGGCTATTTGTTATGCAAAATGTGCATCTATGTCCCACTTGAGCAAAACGTAGTAATAATTCGACCCCTGATGAACAGATGGTACATTCTTAGCATAAGTGACTGAGGCTCTTCCTGTAGCCTTGTGTGGACGACTAAGACAAGAACTTTAATGGCCGGCCGGGGGAGCAGTGTGAGCTTCCCTCTGCTCCTCTGAGTGACATATACATGTCAGAGAAACGTATATACGTGCAGAATGAGGAAGTCTGTTGTTGGAGTGTATGTATGGAACATTGTCTCAGGAGAACCGTCCTGTGCAATCAGCAGCGTTCACACAGTTTGAGGCAGGAAAGCCAACTGTAAATTCAAAAAGAGGAACTACTGAAGACACTGTGCAAAACTTTTTTTTTTTTTTTTTTACACACGCAAAAACACCATGCCAGAACGCCCCCTCCCCCCCTTTAAGCATTACGGTAATCTAAATGTTGTCTACTGAAAAATTGAGCCATTTTTTTTTTTTTTTTGTTTTTTTTTACCGGCCTCCTAAGATGTTGATTTTTTTCCTGATTAAGACAGAATGAGATTTGAACTCTTGAACCCTGCCATGAAAAGTCCAGTTCTCTTTTAGGCTGCAGTTTGATTGGGATGATAAGCTCAGCACTTCCAGAGAATGCTGAGCATTCACTTTATTAGGCACCAACTTCTGAAACTTTTTTACACTTTAGTAAAATCTTTAAAAAGGTTAAATGTGTTAGAAACTATCTGCAGGTAAATTATAGAGTTAATTTTTAGTTTACTTCTGCTCATTACGCCACAGGCTCCTGGACACTGATCCTCATGCATTCTGGTTGTTTCAAAATGAAAATAAAAAACAGTTTCCTTTTAAATTGTGTTTATTTGCACATCAAGTAAAAACGTTTGGCAGTTTCTCAAATTCATACATACACACACGCACATAAACATGCATTCAGGAAAAGCATTCCATGCTGGCCTTTGCTCTCTCCATCTCATGCAGGAAGTTGTAAAATTGAGGCAGCGTCAGTTCTAGAGGAGACAAGAGAAGAAGATTAAAAAATTATGAGAGAAATGGTAATAAAGTTCCAAACAGACCAAATAAATATAAGGGATGGCATTTGTTTTTAGATGTGGTTGTTTGGTACACATCTCTGATTATTTTTACTTTTTTTTTTTGTTATTGGAACCAAAAGTTTATGTGATAACCCAACGAAAAATGGTGCAAATCTGGGAAGCAGAAGGGAAATAATACAAGGTTTTGTTGAAAATGTTTAAATTTGAAAATATGTGCTGTTCTTTTTTATTCTAGAAACCCTAAATAAAATCTGATCCAACCAAGTGACTTTTAGAAATCCATATTTCTTTTTTTTTTTTTGGGAAAATACCTGACAAATAAATAACACAAATTAGCTTTAATTTATTGATTACAATTTGAATGGGGTAACTATTAACAGGCTTAAAATTAATCAATAAACATGTTCCTAATTCTCCTCCTCACCCAGAATTTCTAGGCAAGGGAAAATTAAAAAGATGGAGGGAGTTGCCTCATTTATGCTAACATAATCTTCATGTTGCAGCCAGATATCAGGAAAACAACATAAGTCAAACTGATGATCACAAATCAAGTCAATTACTAACAAGACATATGTTCAATAAACCATATTTAGTTGCTAATACTTTTCTCTTTCTCTTGGAGTCATGTTCATTTTAATTAGATTATCATGATTCCCTTTTTTTTTTTTTTTACAGAAGCCCCATATCCAACAGGTCTGTAGGATTTCCTTCACTCATCTCTGTAAATTGGAAAAAAAATGTTTTTTTTTTTTTTCTTGTCCAGAGTTGATGCTTAAAAACTAGTCCATCTATTTGCTTTTACTTTACGGCAGAGTTCTGGTGAAAATTAAAAGAGCGACTGATTTCTCTTATCTTAGCTTCCCTTGGCTTCCTGTTAAATCCAGAATAGAACGCAATATCCTCCTTCTCACATATAAAGCCCTAAATAACCAAGCTCCATCTTATCTCAGAGAACCGATTGTTCCTTATGTCCATAGAAGAAGAAATTTGCTATCAATCTGCAGGTTTTGGTTCCTAGAATGACTAAAATTGCAATGAGAAGCAGATCATTTAGGTATCAGGCTCCTCTCCTGTGGAGCCAACTAACAGTTTTAGTCCATCAGGCAGAATCCCTGTCTGCTTTTAAGGCTAGGCTTAAACCTTTCATTTTTGATAAAGCTTATAGGTAGAGTGGCTCAGGTTATCCTGAGCTATCTATAGTTATGCTGCTATAGAGTTAGACTGCCGGAGGACAAACAACTTTTCATCACTCTGCTTCATTCTATCTCTATTCTACGTTACTTTTTAGTTGTAAGGTGAAAAAGTAAAAAATAAAAACTTGCATGTGAGGGATGAGAATGAGCAGAAAAGTGTTGCAGTTCTGTGTTTTGGCCACAGGAGGCAGAGTCATAGAAAACTTAAGTTTAAGCTGTGGCCTCTATTCAGAGCGTAACCCAGGCAGAAGAACAGCAGTTTTTAAATAAATTAAAACTCAGGAAGAAAAATCTAAATGTTCAGTGACTCACCCATGTAAACATTTTCTGTGGATTTCCCCTTTCTCACCACCAGCTTTAACTGCAAGAAAGTTAATATTTATGATAAAATAAAGAATTTCACGTCTATAGGTCATTTACAAAAATTCCTACCTGTAGAAAAACGTTTCCCACTTTTTGGATTTCACTGGTGCCAACAGTCACTGTTTGAATAAGAAAAGACTCTTAGTTCTCTAGGATCTCTATGTAGTACTGATGCAGAAAAGTTTTACAATAAAATGAACACAGATTCTGATAAATTATCTCACTTTAAAGACAAAACATGGAAATAACGAAGTGAGAAAAAAAAGACGAATGAAACTTTTGAAACATTTTTCATACTTTTTTCCTCCTTTTTCTCCAAACCTGGAAAAAATGGAAAACCAAGACTTCTTCCAAGGTGTCTTGGTACCCAGTGAAAGCTTTTTATTTCAACATTTTCTTTTATATGCATGGATTACATAAGATCTTTTTTTGACACTGCTGTCCTTTATTTAAAAGTACGCTGACAGAAAATATATTTTAATGTGATCAAAGTGTAATTCTGACTGGAAGGAACACTAATGTTTTTAAGCAACCAGCGTGAGTCTTGGTAATAATCTGATGCTAAACATTAGGAGAGAGCTAAAGATTAGGGTGATGGTAAAGAGGCCTACTATCACTAAAGATTAGCGAACAAGGCTTTGCTTTTTCTAACACTAAAAATACATTTTTATTGATACCTGAGGAGATGAGAAATTATTTTTAACAATACATTTCTCAATAAAATTCAGGATAAAAAAGTTGATACAAATCTAAACCTGCATCGATCACCAAATCTTTACGTCTAGAAAAACAGATGAAAAAGTCAGAGCTGTAAGACGTCATATACCACAATCAGTGAGAAGACATATATAGGTTACTTATTCATAAAGTCCTGATTGTTTGAATAATTTAAGGTCTCAAAAGGCATAATGGGAAGATTTTCATCCCCAATACTCTTTATGGTTTTTACCTCCAAACTTCCACTCCATGTCCAGCAGCTTGTTGACCATCAGAGTCTGTCCAACAGCGAGCCTGGACAGCGCAGCATAGTGCTCCCCCCACTGCAGGGCACAGAGGGATAAAATGGTAACGTCCTCAGACGAGTTTCGGACTTCCAAAAAATCTGCAACGTTTCCACTGAGGAATGTTTTTAGTTTGCATCCTTGCATTCAGAGACACCTTCTGTTAGCAGAATGCGGCTTTAATACGAATCATTAACGGCGGCATTGTTTTATCTGGAGGTTTGAACACTTTGAACACAACTCAGTGATTTGACTGGAAGGTTTCTTAGGACCTCTTTCTCAGCTTCACCTGTGCTGGAGATGCAACACTTCACTGATGTTAGCTGATCAGCTAAAACTTTATTATAAAGTAAACCTTTCAAGCTATTAAAGCTTGTTGTAGATAGATTCATCTGCAACCAGCACAATAAAACGACAAGCTGTGCCATCAGAACAGATGTAGCTGCACAGATTACAGAACACAGAAATGCTTATTCCAAAGCTGAAACTTTTTGTTTTGGTTGGAATTTAACAAGCCTTGATGATCTGATCTGTGCTACAACCGGGTCAAATCTGCTCCATGTTCATAAAATCATTCCAGAAGATCTTAATATAATAGTTCTCATTACAACCCTGTGTTTTTATCAAAGTCAAAAGTCATAAAGCCTTTATTGTCATTATATTCTGCAACGGATACAATGAGATTTTGGGACTTCCATATGAGCTACCGTAAAATAAATAAAAATAAAAAATGAAAAATAAAAGCTCAAGTGTTTGCCCAAACTCCTAGTGCGAAGATGGATGGAGATAAGAACAGGATGTTTTTTTTTTTCCCTGTATAGGTGTTTATCAGCTGCACAAACACTGAATAAAGGAGGGTAACCCTATTATTGAATCCATAAAGGACAAGGACTCATTTTGATAAATTACCTGTAATGAAAAGTGTGCAGCTTTCTCCTCGTTTAGCCCTGAGAAATCAACAGATACAACTGTTTAGTTTCCTGAATGAAAGATTTACCCGTTCTAAAACATTATTACATGTATCATCCATGTGAGCTGATCTAAAGGAAGTATTACCCAATGTAAGCAGGTCTTCTTTGACTTGTTCAGTCGTCAGGTTTTTCTTTAGAGCTCCTGAGAAAAAAAACATAAAAAATAGAGAATTTTGTTTTACAGCTGGAACTTCAGGGAAACTTTCATTAAAATATAAAGATTGATATTGATGTTTAATTATGAAGTGAAAGAAAGCTTTTAGGGCAGTCTGGCAAAGTCTTATGTAGAAGAAAAGAAATTCAATTGGCTCATCCTGGTGTCCCTCTCTGCAGTATAGGGCAATAGATTAGGTAACTTACTGCTCCAGAGTATGCAGCTATGTGTTAGCATAAAGTCAGGATGAAAAAATATAAGGAAAGACTTTACAGAAGAAATGCTGCCGCCCAGCAGCCCCACACGTTTTGGAAAATTTTATTAGAAATTACTATGAGTCCTTGATTCCATAGAGAGATCAACACCAGCCAACCTTCTCAGCGAGGGATCTCCTACAGTTTACCTCAATATCAGCCATACAGTGCTGGGAAAATTACAATACAAACCCCACAAAAAATGTCCACCTGAGACTCGAAGAATAGACAAGTTTGGTTTGTTTGGAGGATTTATAATAGAAAACTTGATTTTGGTTTACAAGATCAGATCTAAATAAAGCACAAAGATTCAGGAGCAGTAACCTTCAGACAGATGAGATTAGAAGTGAAACAGTTAGTCGGGCTAATTGTAATTAATCAATGACTGAGATAATCTTCACTAATTTAATAATTAAAAAAACAAGTATGCAGACTTTAAAACATATCTTTGTCTGAAAGGACAGAAATGAAGTCAAACTTCAGAAAAAAATATTAGATACTGGATACTGTTTTGTATTTCAGATGGAAAAACCTTCTTTGTCAGCAAATATATTATCCAGACCTCATTAAACTGCATATTTCTAGCTTATCTGGTTCAAATTATTTTTTCTTTTTTGAAGCACTTTCTGCTATCAGGTTAGTAATCAAACAATTGGAAAAAAAAACTGTAAAGCACAGTAGAGGAGGAATGATTATTTGGGTTTGTTTTGCAGCAGCAGCTTCCAGTCATTAAGATGACCTTGAACTCTTCTTCCTATCATGGTGTTTCAGAGTCAAACATCAGTCCATCTTTTCCACATCTGAAGTTTGGCTGAAATTGGGTCATCGCCACGACGGTCCAGGATAAACCAATAAATCTACTATGACACAAATGTACAACCGAGTCAAGGTGCTGCAACGGCCTAGTCAAAGTCTGGATACAGTCTGGATTATAAAGGTTACAGAGAACTGATCAGAAACAAACGTCTGCAAACTAAGGCTGCAAGTAACAATTTTATGTAAATCGATTAATCCTTTTATTAATTTTTCTATTAATAATCGGATATCAAACGGTTCATTTTGCTACTTTATACTTAAATTTGTTTTTTTGTTATTTTTTTCTAAGTGGGTTGCTCTGTCAGCTAAAGGCATGTTTTAGGGTCTCTACACTCCAGTTAATGATTAATCCATTACTAAATTAGTTAATTATTTCAGTAATCGAGTAATCACAACTGAACCGATAATTGTTTCAGCCCTTCTGGGAACCTCAATGAACTGATTCAGATTGGATCAAAACTAGAACCAACAGTGAGACGTAAATGACTACAGAAAACAGCAGCTGTGAGTTAATGCACCCAACATGTTGGAACATGGAGGGTATTTAGTTTTTTCACACACAGCTGTGTAAATTTTGGACTCGAGTTTGTAATGACAGAGAAGCTGTTAGAAGTTTTCCGATTTAAAAACGTTTCAGACCAGTAAAGCGTCTGGATCCAACCACTGAATCTGACAGCAGCTTTAAGTCGAGCTAAATTTGAAGGGAAAGCTGCTTGTTTCTCCCACCCTGAGGAACCAGCAGAACGCTCTTCATCAGGTTCCTCAGAGGACCGGCGCTCATCCCGTGTTCCCCTGCAAATTCTGTCAGCCGTCGCATGAATCTGTCGGTCTGAACACAACAACACACAGAAGAATGCATTCATTTGCACAGACGCACAAAGAGAAAATCAGGGTTTTGCTTCGGTTGAGTTACCAAGAGTTGAGTTCAATGCCTGTTCACACAAACTCACCTCTTTAGGGTCCAGGAGAAACTGGAACAGAATTTCAATCAGACAGCTAAACTGCTGCAGGAACAAAAAAAAAAAAAAAAATTTGAAATTGAAATTTATACTTGAAGAGGTTAAAACTTCAATTATTTTTGCAAGATGAGATGTTTAAGTTTCATCTTTTTTGCCCCTTATACAGCTTTTTTTTTTTTCAATTTTCTACTTTGATGAACTATGGAAACAGGAAAAAACATGTTTAAAAAAACGCCACCTTTTATTTTTTTGTGTTATTTGGGTAAATATATGTTGTTATATATATATAAAGATTTGTCGCCTTGCTGAATTCTTCTGCTTTGGTTGTTCCACATCAAACAAATATAACAAATCAGACTCTTTTCAGTGCAAACCAGCGTGGACCTTTGAGAAAAACTAATCACCCCCTAAAGCCAATAACTTGCTGTTCCAACACTGGCAGAAACAACATGAAAACAAGCATTAACTGGCAATGGGTCGTTTCCATCTAAAGATGAGAGAACTTTTCCCCTGCTCTGCTTTAGATTACCATCCATGAATTGGTTGGAGTTTAAAGTCTCAAACAGATCCCAGGACAATCCTTCAGGACTCATCGTTCCATCAAATACACAACAAAGTTTTAGTGTTTGCAGGAAACTGCTTTACTAACAACCCTGCGAGGTTTATGAACATTCAAAAAGTCGAATCAGCAAACAAAATATTTCCTGCGATCATCAAAATGGTTGAGGAGAAATGTGAGATATATTGTGGTCAGCAGTGGTTTTGGCTTTGGAACCAATAAAGATAATTTTTGTCCGGTCCATCTTGCTGGTTGTTTATATATGAACTCTTCCTTAGTTTGAGGCAACAATTGTATTATTCAGGGGGAATTTGAGACCTCTTATGTCACTTATGAACTCTGGGAATCACTGATCCAGAACACTTTAGAACTGTGGTGCTATTCTAGAGTCCATTGAAAATTAGTTTTAACTTTTTCATTGAGAAAACGACTAACTTTAAATCTATAACCGGTAGTCTCTTTGTGTTGTCAGACATGTTTTCAGTTGAAGTTAAATCTTGGCTTCAGATCTTTGCTGTTACTATGGCTGCAATTAACTATTATGACAAATTGATTAATCTTTTGACTATTTATTCCATCAATCGATTATAATCGGATAACCAAAGAGTCTGCAAAGAAGACTTTTTATTAAATCAAACCAGGGGAAACTAAAATTTTTCCACTTGAGGAAATCTGGATAGAGCACATTGACAGATGGAAAAAAGTTTTTTTAATCTTAAATGCAAAATGTGGGTTGCTCTGCCAGCTAAAGGCATGTTTTACAGTCTATTTCTATACTCCATTTACTAATTGATTACTAAATAAGTTGATGATTATTTCAATAATCGATTAATCCAATTAATTGATTCAGACCTAGTTGTAACCAGTGAAATTATGCTCAAAGAGGGAGCCTAACCAGTGTTAATATAAGATGTTATTATGGGTTAATAAAACAGGTCCAGGTTGGTTTGGATTGTTTAGACAAGTTGAACACAGGGGTTATCCAATCATTGCCCACCCCCTACCATTTTTCCCTCTAAAACAGACAGTGGCAGCAGTAATACTTTCAAGTGGAATATTCAAAACATTTTATTTTTTTGTGGCTAATTATACACATCAATATACCAACATCAAAGATAATAAATACAGCATTCATTCTCTTTTCAGAGCTAGATTTTGAGTTATATGGGGTAAAGAGAAAATGATGTGTCTCTGCAAGTCATCTAGGAGTCTTCAGTGAAACCAAAGATAAAACAATAACAATTTTAATAAAAATGTATCAAATTTATGTTGCTGTAAATATTAATTTTATGCAGAATATTTATTGATACAAGTAGGTTAGTAATGACAATGGAAAAGATTTACGCCCCAGAACTCAAAACTGAAAGCTTTATCCACTATACCTTTTATCTAGAAATTAGGGATGTTTAAATATATGTGTTTATTTGTTAGCAAAGGCTGTAGGAAAGTATAGTTTGTCTTTATTTAGAAAATATGGATGGTTTGCTGATAAATTTTCCTGTTGGAACAGTTTAGATTGACCCTGAAGTTCTGGTGCCTATCCACTTTGGTTATTGCCTGGACATCCTTATAGCAGATACATAACAGAAGCAGGAAAAATCTGCAATGGGGTAAAACTTCACAGCACTTTGCAGTCACATGATGAAAGGAACATAAAAAAGTCAAAGGTTATTAGAAGCAGTTTGAAATGATTAGATGAAACATATGTGAATATTTAAATACCTCGGGTAAAAACAACTTAATTCTTTGTCTGCATTTATATATTTTCATCTAAAACAGATCAATTACCATGAAATGCGCTGAGTCCTATAAATACCGTTCAAAATCTGCAGCTTTTCAAATCCATTTAATCAGAAAACCGGGATTAACGGTTCAAAAGTAGATTAGTTGTGATTTGCTTGTTCTACCTGCTCGTTGAATTTGTTCAGGTTCTGGAAATCTGTACCAACAGAGTCCGGTAAAACATCTTTAGCGAAATGAAGCTGCATCTTTTAGTGGAGTTGTACAGCTGGCTGTCGCTTCGCAGCTGATTTCTGGAGATAAACTTCCGGGTTCGGCTTTGCGCATGCGCGCATCAGAGTGACGCGTCTAAAGGCACGTCTGTTCCCTGGGAATATAAATAAAAACAACATTCTTTGCATATTTGAGAAAATAATGATTTGAAACACTGAGAGCTATTTATCTAAAACTCCCCATACAACCAAAAGCTAAAGAAACTCACTTTAAAATGTTTTATATTGATGACAATAGATGCTCATTCTGTAAAAAGTGGTATAGAAACAATTGACCATGTGCACTATGAATGCAATCAAACCAAAACATTTTGGAATTGCTTAGAAACTTGGATCAAATAAAAAATTGCACTTCCTGAATCTATTTCTAGAGATATGGTCACTTTTGGAATATTATTGAAAAACAAAACATTAGAACTCTGATGTAACCTAATTTTGTGTTTAGCAAAATTCTTTATTCACAAACAGAGTGTTGAGACCAACCCCAATCTTTAAAGTTTTTTTTTAATCTGAATTCAAGTTATATTTGAAATCTTTTAAATCTATTAAATCATACGAATACCTGACTGAAATACTGATGGGTTTGCCCACCAGTATTGATCAATCCTAACATGAATCCCTTGTTGCAATGTATGTAATTATTTCATTATTATCAGCCATTCCTTTTATTTTCTTTGTTCCTTATCAACAATGCCTTGTACTTCTATTTTTGAAATCTGCCTCTACTATGCCTTTCAGAGATTTTTACTGTTACTATTGTCTTACTTGTTTGTACTTACTTTGTTTAAATAAAGTGAAAAAAAACAAAACATTCATGTCTACGTCACAGACAAGACCAGAATGGGCGGAGGAACCCTGAACTCCTTGTATTAAAAACAGAACTTGAACAATATCTTTAGACAATCTCCAAATCAAAAAACAAAAAGGCTCTAAAGATTATCAATATCCACAAATAATTTAACCTATTTCCTTTAAATGTTCTCCCACACTTGGGTTAAGATTCTCAGTCATCCAGGATTCATTCCAAAAAACTTAATAAAAGAATAAAATTAAAAAAAACAATCCACTGGACTTTGTTTATTTTTGTGTTAACCTTTTCTTTTTGTGTGTGTCTCCATATTTTACCTCTGTTTTAGCTATGCTTGTATTTTGCAGAGGTTCAATAAAAAAAGACCATCATGGGCAAGATTAATGAGCTGTTGATCAAGGAGTAGGAGCCCAATCTGCAACATTTATTTTAGTAAAAAAGTAGATACTGAGCATGGATTGATTAGAAATATAGAAATAATTTGGTATGGAGAATAAAATTGTTAATATGATAGATTAGGAGGTTATTAATTAAGTTGAGGTGCACCAAAACAAGATTAATAATAAAGGAATACCTGGACAGAGATGAGAAACTATAGGCGGGTTTTCAAACAGATCACTAAAATTTACATACTAATTGTTTTTATGAAATTCACAGAAATTAAGATTTTAAAAACATTATTTTATTGCTTTTGCGAAAAGTGTTTCCTAAAAAAATTAACCTGGTTTGACTTGAAGACTTCTACACCATTAACTACAAAAGTTATATTGTTAGATTTTATTTGATTTAATATAATTGAATGGGTGAAGTTATATGTTAGTAATAAAGTGTGGTAGTACCGAAGATAACAAATGATCTAAATCAAATGCAACTGATGTATCTCAAAGTTCCTATGGCCCCTTTTTTAGCTTGTATATTGCAGAGACACTATATTTCTAAAATATTTTGCTCATTTTTGAACTTTTGACCATTCTTCCAAAAGTTCATTTGTGATGTCATACACTGATGTTGGACGAGAAGGTCTGGCTCTCAGGCCGTTCTTAATATGTGTACTTTTGTGTTCTCATGTGCTCGTGTACTCGTGAAACGTCATCAGCCTTAGCCCTAGTACGGTTCCAATTGACAAGATAGCAAGACCGAGAATGGACAAAGTCCCAGGATGTTGTTCTCGCCCCTTCCTCTTTAACGAGTATGCATCAATTTAATTCAATTAAATTCAGTTTATTTCTGTAGCTCCAATTCATATCATGTCATCTCAAGGGACTTTACAGTTCAACCAGATCATACAGTCAAATTGATGCAAAGTTTTCTATCTAAGGAAAACCAGTTGATTGCATCGACTCATTGACTCAAATGCAATCACTTACACTAAGCATGCTTGTAGCGACAGAGGAGAGGAAAAACTCTGTTTTAAAAAGAAGAAACCTCCAGCAGAACCAGGCTCAGTGTGAGCGGTCATCTGCCGAGGCCGACTGGGGTTCAAGAGAACAGAAGCAGAGATACAAAAAGCAACTGGAAAAGGCGGACCGGTCCAGAAAACACACAGCCAGGCAGACGAGCTCCGATCCCACTCCCATGTCAGAGGATGAAGAGAGCACATCCAACCAAATTTAATCTACTCAAATTAGAAAATCAGGTCTGGGATCCAGTTCAGTATACAGTACATAGGTAGGTGCTCATGAAGATTCTCAGTCTTCCAGGTCATAGTAATTCCGTAAAAGTAAAAAAAGAAAAATATCCACTGGACTTGGTTTCCAAGGTTTGAAGACATTTCGCCACCTCTCCAGGAAGCTTTCTCAATTCAAATGTCTGGATCTGCAGTGAGTTTGAGTCTTTTTAAAGACAAGGCCTTGTATTGCTTGGAAACATGCAAATTGAACTGACGAGTGGGTCGTTTGGTTCCATTGTTAGCCTGTAATATCTGAAACCTGTCTATGATTCTGACGGGCGGTCATTAAAGGGGGGGATTGTCGTTAAAGGGGGGGGGGGGGGGTTGTCTCCTGTAATACCTGAAACCTGTCTATGATTGTTAAGGGTCGGTCGTTAAGGAGGTATTGTTCACCGGCTGAAGAGGGTAGGTGCTTTGTTCCTCTCTGATGGGGTGGGGGGTGTGGTGATATCTGGAAGCGATCATCACTATAACTGAATAGTAATTGTTTGGAAGCTGGAATCTGAGTCCACCACTTCTGTTTAAAGTTGGTTTTTCTCTCTTAACATAGATGGCTTCCTTCAAGCCCCTCTCAAACCACCTATTTTCTTTATCCAGAATGTGAACATTCTGGTCCTCAAAAGAAAGTCCTTTGTCCACAAGGTGTAGATGACTCCGCAGTACATCTACACCTTGTGGACAAAGAACATTCTTCCAGCTCCCAAAAACTTACAATTCAGTTATAGAGATGATATAGAGATGAAATCAAGAACGGAAATCAAAAAAGGAGATAATTAACAGAAACAGAAATTAGCAGCATCAAATTAAACGGCAACTCCATCCATCCATCCATCCATCCATCCATCCATCCATCCATCCATCCATCCATCCATCCATCCATCCATCCATCCATCCATCCATCCATTACAGAGGTAGCAGCCTAAGCAGAGATGACCAGACTTCCTGATCCACACACACCTCCTCCAGCTGCATCTTGAGGGACCCCAAGGTGACACCAGGCCAACTCATAGACATAGTCCCAGCGTGTCCTGGGCCTTCCATGACGCCTCCTCCCAATAGGACATGCCACCTCGGGGAGGCGACCAGGAGGCATCCGAGCCACCTCAGCTGAAACATCAAATCAAACTACACAATATCAAAGGTAGAGTGAAAAAGCAAAATCTTATACAAAGGCATGAAGGTCCCAGAAACACCCCACCTGAGAAAGCAAACAAGCAACTTTGCATTTTGTTTATTGTCATGGCATCGGCATCATACACCTGAAGCAAATGAATACTGTTAAGAATAACCACAAATACATTTATTTGTTTTTCTTGTTATGACCTGATATATTCTAAACTTGACTTAGTACACATTTAAAGAGAATGGTATGAGTATTTAGAGGCCTCCTCTTGATATATTGGCTTAACTTATTTGCTGCTTTTCAACTACTTGAACATTTTTTTTCTTTATGTGGAGTTTGTGTGTTACCCCTTTAAGCTTTGCAGCTGTAACTGCGATGTAAGGCAGTTTTATAAAGTGTTGACTCTTTCAAAAAAAAAGAAGAAGAAGAAAAACAACTAAAGATTACGTGTTCTCCTTTCACTTGGTGATGAGTTTTGGTGAGGAAATGGCAAAACATTCAAGATGTCTATGTAAAAGGATAAAGCCTTTTTTTACTTTCTTTTCAGAAATTTACTTGGAATCTTAATTTTTTTTTTTTTTTACAAGTTCTGTAGGCGTTTGGCTGCACAAAACATGTGTTAGATGAAGGCAAGGGTGTAACTAATAGCGTGAGTAATTAAGAGTTCATCTGGGTGCGCAGGCATGTGTGTACATTTGGTGATGTGAGCCTGTGTTTGCGTGTGTGTGTGCAGGTTCTCTTTATAAGCGCAGCTCCAGAGCACAGCTTCCACAGAGCAGAGTGCTCCCATAGTTATCAGGTCTGCAGAAGCTCCAGCACCGTGCCTGGTTCAAGGTTGGGCTTTTATCTCACAGCAAGCAAACATTTCGTCTCTGCACACGTTTCAGCTGCGGATGCGCGCAAGAAGTGCGGATGGTTATGTGTGTAAACTGCCGCACCGGGAGTTTGTTTTTCTTCTATTCCTGTCGCTGTTTTTGTTAGTAACACTTGAACCAACCACGGTGCGTAAATTGAACCCCTCTGTTTTAAACTCAGCGTGAATATTTGCATGCTGCGCAGGGGTTGTTTTTCCTGTAATTCCTTCTTGCACATGTGAAGTTGGCAGGTCGCTCGACTTTGCCCCATGTGCACAGAGAGCTGAGCGTAACAGGACCGAAGCGGCTGCCCAACCCGTTCAGGTAAGAGGTTTATCTGCAGACAAACTCTAAAAGTCCGGAAAAACCTCAACATTTTACCATCTATATGCCAATTACTGGTTTATTTGCAGCTGTTAGTAACTTTACGGTTAGAAAAACTCAGTTAATTGCGTCTCCCTGCTGCGGGACAAAGCGTGCGTAACGCATCATGCATGAGCGGATTGAGAAATTAACGCGGCAGAGATTTTTACTCCATCTTCTTTTTGAGACCGGGGTGAAATCTCTCTGGAAAGAAATGCAACATTTCAGAGTCTCCCTGTTTATTACTCTTATATTACGTGCGTGTTTTTTTTATTATTTTTTTTTATGTTGTATTATGTACCGCTTCCTTATTTGCTGGTTTTGGACATGTTCAGGCATTTCAACTTGTACAGACGGTGGGGATTTTTTTTTTCTTCTTCTGCCGTGAAGATGATTTATCCATGATTAACTTGTGTTATTAAATAGGTTTGGGATACGATCTGCACCCACAAGTGTTGCTGAGTTATCTATATATTTATATATATTATAGTTTCACATGTTACATAGTGATTAAGTAAGGTTAGAGGAAAATAGGAAGAGGCACATAAAAAAGGTGTTATTGCATGATATAAGAAATTAACTAGAGGGGAAGTTGCAGCCTTGTGGTTAGGACATACAGCTTGGAATCCTGAGGTTCTGAGTTTGGGGTTCTGATTTTGAGCCCCACTCCCACAGCCTGCCACTATGGGTCCCTGTGCAAGACCCTTTAGCCACACACTGCTCCCAGGGCGCCACACAATGGCAGCCCGCTGCTCCCCAAGGAGAGGGGTTAAATGCATGGGTAAATTTCTCCAATGTGAGATCAATAAAGTTAAATTATTATTATATTAGTTTTTATTCAAGTGGGGAATACAGTTTATAAACAGTGGCAGACCACCTCTCATTGTTGTAACAAACTTATAACTGATTCAATGGCAGAATTTACTGGTCATTTAGGGAGAAATGCATCTAAACATTCCTGCAAAAATCTAGATATTCACTTTGCAAGCTTGATTACGGAAGCTGAGAGCGTCTGTGTCACTCAGAGACTTTTTGACGACAGTTTTCTCGAGAAAACCAGTTATACGAAAGCCATTTTCTCATGATAACGAGATGATTGGGGATGATGTGTTCACATTACACATTACATTCTTCAATACCACAACAGTGGGAGAGGATTTATAAGTCATGGTGGCCTGTGTGTAATTCTGTAATAAAAAATCCTGTGTTTAATTTTTAGGTAACGAGACGACGTTGTCTGTTTGATGATTTACTTCCACTTCTGATTCAAAAGCAATTAGATTTATGCCTCCGGGCTTTATCGCCGGGTGTTTTCTAAACAGACCCGGTGTTATGCCTGTAACAGGTATAAGATGCATTAACCCCCAAAATGAGTCCAGATTAAAGATTTTCATTTAAAAAAAAAACAGTCAGATTTGTTTCTACTGTATTTCATGCAACCAATCATCCACCATGACCTGACACAGAGTAAGAAGAAAAAGGAAACCAAAAACGTGGTTATTTGCGCACACGTGTTACCTCAACTGCACAATTACGGTTACCGCAAGCATGGATGGATTGGGAATCCAGCGCTGTTGACCAGCCTCATTCATTACACATGCAGGTTAATCATCTCGGTAAATCGAGAAATCAATAACTGTTTTCTTGTGATAAGGAGATATTGATCTTGTTATCACATATAGCTATATTTATCACATATAGAGATTTTTATCTCGTTATCTTGAGAAAACAATTAATGTTTTACCCGTGATAACGAGATAGTTATGTCATTATTTCGAGAGAGCAAAGGAAATAAAAAAGTCTAGTATGACCACTCTCGGCTGTCGTATTGGTTAAGCTCCCCGTTGCAACTGTAAGGATCCAAAGCCCCGTCAAAGTTTAACACATATGAGTTCTTATGAGGTTAATGAAGCTGGAGCTCCTGGCATTTTAACATCAGCACATGTCCTCAATTTATTAGCTTTTCAACAGCGTTGTAAACAGGACTTTTAAAGGTATGTAACACATTACATGACAGTAAAAACACTACCCAACACTGGTAGCCCATTAACCCCCCGGCAGGACAGCAGCGGGCTCCAGATGGGTTTGATACTGATCTGATGTTATCAATACACATCCACAGAAACACACCACTGCATTCCACAGTGTCCAGTTCCGGTGTTTTAACCTTCTGGTGCCAGAAAGATCAAGAACGCCCAGGTTGTGAGAGTTTTACAGCAAATGACTGATTGTTTCCATAAACTCTATCTTAAAGCTGGTTAAAGAGTGAATGAAGTGCCCTTGGGGGACTGTGTTATTTTGTGCAATCCAGGCTTAAGAGATGTGGGTAAATGATTCATGCAGAATGGAGCTGACATGTCTGCGTTAGACATTGGTGGGCATAAGGGTGGCAACACCAGTTGATTGGTGTATCTGCGAGTGAAGCTCACATCGGGGGTTAATCACGAGGCCGGATGGCACGAGCAGCTTTTATTTCAACATATTCTCATTATCAGTTCGTATGAAATCGTACGAAAAGTTATGCACAGTATTTCGTGGGTTTTTGACGTTTTTCCTCAAAAAAACATATCAGTGCGCATGCGCAGCCAGCCAGACGAAAAAAGCAGATCAGCAGACAGACGTAAAACTGGGACGGACGAGCTTTCGACAGTGCAATAATTACTTCATGATGTCTTTCACTAGGTTGCTTGCTGTTTTGTATGTTAGGGTTAGGGTTAATTGTATGTTAAATTGTATGTTATTGAATGGTGCGTAAGATGCGCATGCGCACTGATATCTTGTCGTGAGGCAAGACGTAAAAATACGACAAAATACGACGAAAAAAACATCAAAAACCTACGAAATACTGTACATAACATTTCGTATGATATCATACGAACTGATAATGAGAATACACTGTTTATTTACATATGTTCTAAGAGCAATGGCGTAAATATCGGTAAGCAGAGACTGCAGTTGCTTAGGGGCCCCGTCACTAACACATGGTAGGCCCCCTTTGCAATTGTGGACTAGGTCGTCTCATTGCAGATGTAATGGTGCAAAAAATTCCTCTTAAAACCCACCTCATAGTAAGATAACTGACAGGACCTTATTTAAAACGCAACACATTGCAGATATCAACATGACGGTGAGCCGTGTAAACACAACACCAATAGCAAAGCAGAAAGTGGCACTTTTATTAATATGTTAATAACTGTGTATAGTTCATTAAACGGTTGGTAAAAAATACACTTATATAATAAGTTTCAAACCGCAATAAAGATATTAAAAGAACAATGTATTTGAGTATTTTATTCTTTACACTACGACTTGGAATTATTGGTAATCCAGAGCGTCGATTAAAACCATAACCGTTACATACAATGTGTTAGGGACGATGGATACCACCAAAAAGAGGTACTTAAGCGGAATCCAGTAAAGAAAAGGGAAAGAAGAGCTGCTGGAAGAACAGAAAAAAAACTTCCCAAAATAAACACGCTCTTCCAAAGAACCGAAGCGGAAGAGGTGTGCGTTGCTAATACAGTGAGTAAAGATTGCGGCCAGTTGACGAATAGATGGGTGAGGAGGTGATGTGAAACACTAAGGTAGCCCGATAAGACTCATTTTACAGCAGAATATACTAAAGTATATCCATGTCTAGTGAAGGTGAGGAATGATGAAATAATGAAGGGGGAGAATAGGGTGTTGTACTTCATATGGGGCCCACCAGATAACGTTGCTTACAGGCCTATTGTTGTGTTTTAATGCCATTGTCTAAGAGCCATCAACTCTTATATGTATATATAATAAACACCATTCTATAGCTTGAATGGTAGAGGAACGTTTCCATGTCTGTTACCTCTGTTACTGAGAGTTTTGGAACCACCTCATTTCCAATTCCTCTTTCCAACATTACTTCACTTCATTTAGTTCTGCAGCCGTTTGCTTCTGCACAGCTGTAGGTCTAAACCCTGCAGCGTTTTTAATCATGTTAAGGTCTAGACTTTAACTCTGTCTGTTGTTCAGCTGTTCTGTTGGCATTGCTGCTGCATTGGGTTTAATGTCCTGCTGATTTCTCTGTTTTCACCTAACTTCTGCAGTCAGACAGATGGTTTCGTATTTAAATAAAGAATATTTTGGTATATAAACAAGCTCATAATCCACTGCCTAGGTCCTGTTGTAAAAATAATCGAAATTATCGGCCCTGCACCGTTAAAATATTAGTATGGTGTGTTTGTGTGATGAAATGTTTGACTTTGTTTTCTCAGAAAATTTTGCTGTTCATTGTGGTCAAACACGTCTTTGTTGTCCTCTTGCGCCCAAAGGGCATCGAGAAGTCTGTGGTTCAGATGCATCTTTAGCCGAATGAATTTCTGAGACATCCAGTCCTGAAAACACAGTAAAGTCTGACAGCATGACATGATTTCCACTTGGAAGTGATCATTATCACTGTACCACAATGACCTTTAAATTATTGAAATATGGCCTTGTCACTTTTTTCACACTAATCAGCAGAAACAGCTTCTGTTCTTAGGCCATTGCTAATGTCTTACCTTCCTGGCTTTGTGTTACCAGACACCTGTTTGTTCTCTGCTTGGTTAGCGATGTTTGCTACGTAAGGGATCATAGTGACATTTTGAAATGGCACCGGTATTGTGCTCAAGTATAGGAGAAGAGAAAGAAGCCTGCTGCTACTGCACAGTATATTTGTTTAGAGGTATAATGTGATCTGAGGTAATAATATGTTAAAGATTAAAGTTCTTTACTAGGTCATTCCCAGGGCAGATCTCAGCTCCCTATTTGTTGAAAGCTTCTCTAATATTTACTTATTTCATTCCATCACCAATCAGGCTCCAATTTGTCCCATTCATTGCTCTTGACAAAAGTTGTACTTTCTTACTCTTGTTTGGATTCTGTTATAGCGTTTGAGGTGCGCTTGTGGTTGGTCTCTTGTGATCGATCTTTAAAAAGTGTTGTCCATG